AAGGGGGATGGTGGAGGATGGGAAAGGCAGCGGAGCACAACAGACACTAGTATGGCAATATGTAAATCAATGGATGTGCAACTGATGTGATTCTGCAATCTGTGTATGGGGTGAAGGTGGGAGTTCATAACCCACTTGAATCAAAGTGTGGAATATGATATGTCAAGAAATTTGTAATGTTTTGAACAACCAACAATAAAAAATTAAAAAAAAACTATGATTAACATATAAATCTCAAGATATACTTGTCCCCTTAAAACATAAAACATGACAATATGAATGCACAACACTAAAAGTATGACTGCCATTATGCTGCCTGGATGAATTGCATTTTCACATGAAATATAACTTGCAAATATCTGAAGTACATTTTAATTAGTTTAAAAGTCTGGTTAAAAAAAACATAAAGTCACTCAAATGTATTGAGTTGTTCAAAATACAGACTTGAGAGCAGTATGTTTTCTACAATTAGATTTTAAAAATCAAAATCTAATAAGAAAATATGATCAGGAATATAAGGACATACAAATAAAGGTAATTGTAAAATATAAAAAAAAAGACTAAGTTAATCAAAAGGGATAAGGAATTTTTACTCTCTTAATCATTGCTTTGTTTTTGTTTCTAGAGTTTGAACCCAGAGGTGTTTTTCCCCTGAACTATATCCCCAGCTCTTTTTATTTTTTGAGATAGGATCTTGCTCAATTGCCCACACTGGACTCAAATTTGGGAGTGGTTCATGGTTGGTTGTTTCTCAGCATTGTTGTAACAAGAGGTCTCTCAACTAATTTCCACTTAATGGATTCCTTTGTTAAGCAATGTGCTGTATTTCGGTAAACAATATTAGCTAATGTTCAATGCCACTTAAATGTTCATAGCTATTAGCAGGCTAATCTGGAATAGTCACACCTTCCTATTGCTTCCTATCAACTCATATATGTACTAAGAGTTCTCTATGTATGCCTATTTTATTTATTATAGCAGTTAAATTATTTTATCAATTTTGATGCAATGACAAACATATTGCTTGTATTATAATTACTATATATTCTTTAAAAATCTAGATTTTAAAAGTTGTAAAAATTATGACCAAGATAGTTATCAACATAAAGATTTAAAAAATATAGATTTTCACTTAAAATTGATTCTCAAGTGGTATTAATTTTCACCACATTTTAAAAACTCTAAAACTAAAAACTAAGAATGATGAATAATAGATTATTCATTGAAGAATAAATTATGTTGTACCCAATAATAGAAAGCCCTTGGTCCTGCAAGTAAATATTAATTAGTGTGCTAATTTACATTTTCTTGTTTTAAGTAAAAATAAATTACCAAGAGTATGAATGTGTATCACTTTTTTTAATGATTTCCTAAGGAACATGAATAGTTCTGAGTTACATCTTCACTACTGGTAAAGACTCTTGAGTTCACATCATTCAGGATTACAGGAACTAACAGTAAAACTTCATGCTACACACTGAGCTTTCTATGAAATTCTGGAACCAGTGTCCAGCCTTTTATAGAGACTGTTATGGAGCTGTCTGTGAGTTTCCTTTGCTCATTCTAAATCAGGCTTTCTGGGAGCTGCTTTCAATGTTATAAATTGTGCAATATAAATTCAATTTTTTAAAATTTATTTTTTAGTTATAGATAGACACATTATCTTTATTTTATTTTTATGTGGTGCTAAGGATCGAACCCAGTGCCTCACACATGGTAGGCGAATGCTCTACCTCTGAGCCACAACCCAGCCCCAGTATGAATGCTATTTACAAATAAATTAGTATAAATTCCATTTTGATCCTGAAGACATAGTAGCTGATCAGCCTAGTTTCTCCTTAGAGCAAATCATTTCTAAGAGTTGTCTTCTGCCAGGGATCTCTAACACACTATTATAAGACTAATGTATTAGTTTGATTTTGTTTCAGAGGCAATGGCCTATAGTGAATAAGTTTAGTAATTAATCATTCAGCTTATCTCAGTCTTTTTCCTTCTAGCTTGTTACAGTATAACAAGCTCCTGGAAAACTTAAATTTTATTAGTTTTTCATTCTGCCATTTCCATCAGGCTTATTGATATGGGCCAATTTATTTCAGGACTTGTGTATAGATGAGGACTATAATGACTATTGGCCCAATTGTGGCTTCAGGAAAACCATAAGGTCACAGCCACAGATATATTCCTAAATGGCTTTCCTGATGAAGACTTTCTCTCCAGCCAATGCTTCTCTGCTTCCATTTAATCCATTGAAAAAGGGTATAGGGAGGTGGTGAGTTATTGTTTGCATGAAGTGTAGGGCAAAGAAACTCCTTTTCACCTAGTCTCTCAATTGTACATTTAATAGAGACGTGCTTACTAGATCATCTTGGATTAAAAAGAGACCTTAGTCCTGTCTAAGAGGGTAGGATCCTGAGATTTCAGGTGCAAACACCTCTTAAAGAAAAGAGTGGCGCAGTTCAAGTAATCCCTAGTTGGGATGCCCAGATAAGGGAACACCTTGGCAATAGCAGCAAGGGTGGTGGGGGCGATCTCACTGTTCATTAGTATTTCTCCTAAGGCTTCTTGGGGGCTTGGAAGAAATTTTGAACTGAAAAGTAGATGCATTAGATTTAGAGGTATTCTTTCATCAAAGCTATGATCTTATTGTACACCCGTTGCGGGGCATCAAGGCCCCAGATGAAATCAAAGTGGTTCCACTCTGGCAATAGTTTGTAGTAACGAAGATTCCTAATTTGGGGGAGTATCCTGTCAATGTCCTTTGGCGTTATAAGCATGTCATGTCCACCAGCCCAAATAGCAGTGGGCACTTTCATGGCAGTCAAGTCATACAGTGGAGGACGACTCTGTGAAAGAGAAAGAAAAGGCATTCATGAGAGGAGGCGCCTCATAGCAGCAGCTGAACTCCAATAAATGGGAAGGCTGCTAAAGGAGTGTCTGCCATGATCATAGCTCTGTGAGGCAATGAGGGAGGTAAGAAGATACTCTACTGTCCCTACCTTCAAGGAGCGCAGAGGAGCAAGAAAGACACGGCAGCTAAACAAACATCTGTATGTAAAGTAGTGTATGCTGCATGCCATAAAACACCCCTGAAAGGCAATGGAAGTGAAAAGGAAGAGGAAATTGTTTCTAACTGGGGGCTTCAAAAAAGAGGAGTCCACCAGTCACCGTAGTATATAACCGTAATGCCAGTGATTTGGGAGGCTGACAAAGGAAGATCACAAATTTGAGGCTAGTCTAGGTAACTTAGTGCCTCAAAATGAAAACAAAACAAAACACTGGTGAATGAGATGGATGGCAATTAAAAGCTGAGAGTGACTTAATAGAGTACTTATAATAGAAAGATAAAGAATGAAACTACATTTTCCAAGGTTAAGGAGTGAGCCAAAGAGGGAAAGACGCTCTCTTGAATATTGAAAAATGTTAATAGAAACAGTGAAGGAATGATGACAACTAGATAGAATTGACAGGTTAAGAGAAGGTTTGTTTGCTCGTTTTCATAAAGGACAGGAGTTCATGTAAGATAAAAAGAGCAACCAGGAGGAACGGGAGGTAAGAATTGGATCCCAAGGTATATTTTTCCATATAATTTTACACACCAAAACTTTAGGAAGAGGAGGTAAGAAGATATAGGGAAATGGGAACAGAAGCAGATTATCTTCCTAATAGAGAAAAGAGGGAAAAAATTAGGAGGACAGAGATATTTGGGTGCAGGTAAAGTTCATTTACACAACACATAGGTATTAAGGGCTCTGGACATGCCAGGTTCTCTTCCAGGTGAGGAAAACATTTGGGAATGAGATGGAGGGAAAGCCGTATACTCGTGGCACTAGGTTGATCCTCTAACACTCAATAACACATAATGTGGGAACAGAGATCAAGCTGGGGACTTGAGGGAGAGCAAGCTGAAGCTAGTACAGACTAGTTTCTCTAGGGAATGTAATAAAGTTGACTTCAATGATATAGTTTACCTCTTGTAATTGTCTTAAGAGGTTAGTAGAATCTTATTCCTCTAACAATTTATTTCATTGCTCAGAAAGTGACTGGTCTAATTGTTTTGATCCTGAGAAACAACTTAATTGATATGTGTTTGCACTAGCAAAAAGTCTTTAAGATAGTCCGGGAAGACACTGAAAAATTTAATTTAATGTACTTAGTTCATATTTAGAAGCCCAATCCCTGACTGAGAATAGAAAGGTTGTAAAGGGAGAGATTTCAAATGAAGTGCTAAATGAGTCTACAAATTTTGATATGTAAAGTTATATAGAAAAAGATGCCTTATAATCCAATTCTTAAATGTTAAATATTAATTTTCATGTGGAATCTTAGTTTTTTTCCCCTGTTGGTATTAAAAAATGTGTATGTATTCTGTCAAAGTTTTTCTGAAACAATTTCCATTATTATGTCCCCATTAAAATTACCCCCCCCCCCCCACACACACATATATATATATAATATATGTATATTATATATATCAGAAACTTATTATTTCAAGATAATTTTATTGCATATTTGGAAAACCCAATACTTTAAAATGTTCTTATACAAAAAGATAGTAAAATATGAGACCAATATTCAGAAATTGAATAAAAAAGAGGAACTAACGCAAAATGAAATTCATACTTTCTGCTATGTATGAATAAATGTATTTCCCTCTACAAAATATATTTTGAAAAAAAAAGCTATCAGTAACATTGGTTATCTTGCTATAATTTAAAATGTAGAAGCAAGATTAAAAGTTGTACAAACCAACATGATCCTGAAAAAAACAGAATAAATATGTCAGATCATTAATACATCCAGTTATTTCTGAGTGGTAGGATACAAATGATTTTACTTTCTTTATAAGTATCCCTTTTATTTCCTAAAAATTCTGAAATGAATGCAGATTAAAATTAGATATTTATTTCATAAAACTCTCATCAGCATAAATGTCACCAATTAGCAGGTAGGATTCTTCTTACTCTCAAATAATTTCATATTAAAACTTCTCAAAATCCCCTCCTGGGGTCATTCTCAGTAGCTTACCTGATTATAATGAAGCATATTTTCAGCTTCACTTCCCCAATCATAGGCTCTGAATTCTTCAGATCGGTAAAGCTGAAATAGATGTGTTTTAGAAAAAGAATATTTAGGATAAGAATCATGAGTTCCAACAGCAAATCTGAGAAAAACACTGGGAAGAAAACAAGGCCCCTGGATCACCAGAAGAATGTATATCTTACTATTATCATAAATTGTGTACTTTCTATTGAAAGGGAAACAATGGTCTTCTTTGGTTTACAGGAAAAACTAATGGAAAACCAAGTCTCTGTAGAAGAAAGTCAAATCCCAGATTTTTCTCTCTCTGGAAAGGTTGCAGCTCTTCTGAGGCCCTCTCAATTTAACTCTTAACTTAAACTCAGGGACTACTTTATTTGTTTTGATTTTAGATGGGATTCATTTATGTCATCTAGTTGGTCTGCACTATAAACCTCCCCACCTTCTTTGTGAATCTAGGGAAATCAAAACAGGAAGGAGGCAACAAGGACAAATTGAAAGCAAGTTGCTAAGTTCTTGGGTGAGTCTGAGAGTGAACTCTGTCCATTTATCTATAATGAGAGTAAGGATCGGTGTGGTTTCCCACAACAAGGACTCTACCTGTTTTAAATGCAATATGTTCTGTATTGATGATCCAGTGGGAGCATGGGATAGATACACATCCATTCGACTCTAAGAGAAATCAAACCCATGTTACAGCAACAATCACCCAATGAAATGAACCATGCATTTCAAAAGCAGGAATTAATGATCAATACTGGTGTTTTGAAAATGATGAGGGAGAATCATCTAAATAAACCCATATTGATGTCAGGAACTTGAATGTGAGTGAACCATAGGTTGACTAGTAGGATGGGCTGCTGGACAGCAAACCTGCGCCAGCTCTGAATATGCAGGGTAATTCACTTATTTTGAAGTAGAATCAGGTGTGATGGACATTAAGGATCTCAGAAACCAGGGAAGGTGTTATGTGCAAGAGCACGTTGGTATGTGCATGTGCACATATGTGCACTGTCACAGATCAAGAGGTATAAAACCTGGATTTCAGACCCATGTTGTTCATTATCAGCTCTATGACCTTGGTCAAGTTATTGAGTATCTCTGAGTTTCTGTTTTCACTTCTCGTAAATGAATATATTAAAAATATTACAAACTGGCTAGGCTCTTATGGGAGTAAAAATAAAACTAAAAGTCAATTCTTTCCAAAGAGTACTTCAATCTCTGTAAACATTCTAAGGATGAAAATTATAGAGATCAAAGAGTAATTGTAATTATATGTCTTAGAATATAATGTACTCATTCAAGGGAAATTTAAAAATCTGTACTTTTGGAAAAAAATAGGCTTTGAACAATGGTTCCTCATGAGTTTCAACTTAACATAATTTAGCTTCTATAAGCATAGGGATGGACTGGCTTGTGGAAAATAGATATCTTGGGACTGAGTTCACTATAACACACTAATTGGCTGATAATTAGAATACAGCAGAGAAAACTATTCAACCACACGAATCTGTGAATGGAAATTGCTCACCTCTTCCTCCTTTTTGAATTCTCAATAACAAAGATTTGATTTAAAATGGACTACTACTTCTTCATAGAAAGGGGATTCTATTTCCCATATTGTCTGAGATTTTTCCAAGTTAAGTGGTGAGTTTTATTTGAAACCACAGTCACTCATACAGGAAGGCACATATGAAATGAGAACAATGCTTTCATCATTTTCTAGGATTTCATTTTATAACTAAACATATTCAAATGCAATAAATACATGTTAACTGTAGTACATTGTGGCTGATTGTGGACAGGTGAAAATCTATTACTTCTCATGGAACATCCACGCTCCTAACTTTGACCAGGGATGGAAGGATGCAGCTGCCTTTCCCTTCCAGAGTCCTTACATGTAAGGTCCATGGAATATCTAATCAGCTATGCACAGCAAATATCTGCCTTTAAAGGTGCCTTTAAAGGACCATACAAACTATAGTGTAATACATGGATAAGAATGAGTCACAGGAAAGCTGGGATTTCTTCAAGCATTAAATGGCTCCAAAATTATTATACATACCACATTCATATTTTTCTTGTTGTATCCAGCCCATAAGGACATAAATTCACTACATATCACCCAGAGTATTTTATTGTTGCAGATTTTGGTAGAAGGTGTCTTCTTGGTCTTATCTTCTAAAAAGAAACCTTTAGTACCAAACATAGCCTGTAAAAATAAAAATCAATTATCTTTTCAAGATCCATGTTCAGACTTCTTGAAAATACCTTCATTGTAGAAATGCATCATAGTGGAGGATCTATTTGCTGTTTTAGTCCAGGAAACCAAGTTGCTCAGGAAAAATGACTTAGGAATTCACTTTCAAATGAGGAAGATCATTAAACGTTATTTACAGGGAGTCAGCAGTAAGGAATCTTCACCTCAAATTTAGTTCTTCATGATGAAGCTTCCTGTTTTCTGTCTAATCAGCAATTGCCATTATTCCTCATTTATTGATAAGAGAAATGGGACACTTTTTTTTCTTAAGGTGAAACATTATACTGACTAGAAAGGAAAAGCAGGTTTTTCATATTACTCACGTACACATTGGCTTTCTTGTACTGTCCTAGATTAGTCAGCTGTCACCATGTAAAGTACAGAATGTAGTACCAAAGAGAAGGTGCCACTGGACATCGAAGTTGTGATGACGTCACACAGACAGCATAGCTAAAAACTTCAAAGTCTTGGAAAAATAAGCTTCTGGAGGTAGTCAAAGGCAGCGGGGATCCAGAGAATAGGACTTAAAATGGCAGGAATTTTGACAGTACAGAATGTGAACTAAGATAACCCAGGGACATTATTTGGTTGACTTCTGATCTATAAGATAGCAACACATGTATAAGACTGGTTTATTTATAGATAGATATATCTGCCTCTGAATTTGACAGATTAGTTTACTCAACCCTGCCCAAATGGAGGTAACAGTCACGATTAACTGATGTCAACACATTTTGAAAACAAACTACCAACCCTGCAAAGGGGATGTCACCTCACTTGTGCTCACAGTAAACAATAGAATAAAACTGTTATCAAATGAATCATTAGGCCTAATAGAAGTTCCTCCTTATGTTAGCTCATTAATATTTTTTCCCATTCCTACTACTCTACTCCAAATCTGGGTCTCATCTTTTTATGAGCGAATTACTATGATATTCTAAATAGTCTCCCTTGACTTGATTTTAGCCCAAATCCATTTTTACCATTGCCCCAAATTGAAAGGGCAACCTTTTAAAAATATATGCTCTTTGTGTACATGACCTTCATGGAAAAACAAAAACAAGCAAAATACAGAACAATGATTTAGTGAATAAAATTTCAAATCTATAATTGTCAATTACAGAACCCTTTCATCCCTTAAATAATAACAATAAATACTTGAATAAATACATGAGCTGTAAGACACTGAGGCTTTGGAATGTAACTTTAATAAATTAGAGGAAGCTCCCATATGGAAAAAAAAATCATGTTAGGCTTATCTAACATCTAAACGAGGACATCCATGATCATACATAACTTGAAGAGTGTCTTCTAATTGGACATTGTGAATTCATTGACCTGCCCAAATAAATAGAACAAGAAAACTTGTGAGAAGACTCTCTATGAATATAGCACTCAGCTCAGATTGAGATTTTGGCATGTACTCAGTTCTGTGACTGGGTACAGTAGATACTGTGTGGGACCTGTAGATACCATGGCACACACAATACACACATTCACAAGCACATGTTCATGGAGTCTTAGATTTTATTTACTTAGAGTTCCTACTTTACTTCATAATATATTTAAAGCTAATAAAGATCTATGATCCCAAATGAGATCCTCAGGTAAATTTTGACAAAAGGAGAAGCCTACCTTGATTATGGAATTTGGAAGTAGAAAAAAACTGGTAAAAATGCTTGTGGGGTATCTGAATGAGATCACAGGACTCAGGGCAAAATTCATTTTGATTCTTTGTGCCAGTTCGGGCATGGTGGAAAAGGCTGCAAATCCTGGGAGAATAGAGACAAGATAATCTTGTAAAAATTAAAAATACATAGGCAATATTTCTACCAGCAAAAGTGGGGATCTATTTATTCATTTCCTTTGTCCTTCTATTGCAACGATTTTGTGGATGAAGTGGGATTTTTTTCTGCAAAGATAATCTGCCTTCAGTTCTTTCTACTCCCAAGTCCCCCTTTCTTTTATTCCATTGATGGACAATTTAATTTGGTTATGGATATGGAGTACCTGGTAGGTGAAGGGGGAGGGGGAGGCTGCTGAAGCATCTACTAATAGCTGGGTGAACTGTACTCAGTCTCACCTCCCAAGCATGGGGTGAATTATGGGGAGAATCATTTTACCCCCAACTCTGAGATGAGCAATGAGTCACAGAGCTTCTGAAAGAAAATAATCAGTCCACAAAACATGCATTGATTGGTTCATCCACAATATTATCCAGTTATTCCATAGGATTTCTTTCTCACTATAGAGTAAGATTTCTTTGCACCAGTGCCTTGCTGGACGCTCACCAATAACTCAGACTCTTTCCAGCTTCCAACATGGAAGGGGCTTTTGTTGGGTCCACTATGATCCCAGTAAGGACCTAGTCCTTCCATTGGTTCTACTCTTTCAACAGTATCCCTGTGAGGATGATGGTGGAGATCATCACTAGGCTAAAAAGACTATGCAGGGTACCTATATATTTTGATTTCATGAGGTGATTTCCTGGGCCTCTGATGGAAGCGGGGTGGGTGTATGGCACACAGAGATGCTTACTAAAATGTTAAAACTATTTTGGCCAGTGGGGGAAAAACTGGACAATTTGACTAAACAATTGAGTCAACAACTCTGAACAAGGGGTAATACTTCTGCCAGAGGGTTTTTGAAAACGTATACAGGTGAGTTTTCTGGTGGTTACACTAATTTGGAAGCCATACTGACATTTAGTGGGCCTGGGACTTGGATTGCTAAATGTCCTACAAACAGTGGATCCTTTCCATGTGACAAAGTTGCTCTGTCCAAAATACAAACAGTGCTCACTGAAACATTTCATGCCCTCGGTCTAGTGCAGAACGCGCATGACCATATTCTCTGTATTCTCTGCAGATTAAATATAAGAGTATATCTAAGTCTCACTTTCCCAGATTCAACCCAAGTCATTCTCCTCTGTACTGTCCTTCTTTCCACAGTGCCCAGACCCTCTGTTGGTGAAGGCCGACTGACTTGGTTTGAATCTAAGTTCTGTCTCTATGTGCTCAGAGACCTTAGGAAACTCAATTTCTCTGAACATCTGTTTCCTCTTGTATGAAATGGAGATAATAACAGTAGAGTTGTTCACAAGATTAGAGGGAGAAAAAGCACTGGACATAAGGTCTTAAACATAATCAGTGCTCAATATGCACTCGAAATTATGGTAAAATTATTCTCCTCTCAGTAGCATTTCTTGGACTCTCATAGTAGTCCTTTTATATTCTTTTGGTCTGTGTGCTCTGATCTCCCTGCCTGTTTCAAGCTTGTAAACTATCATTATAAAGTAATGCTCTGTATCTGTTTATTATTGATGTTGATGGTGGTGGTTGTGGAAATATGGTAACAAGAATTATTGTTTCTTGCATAGTTTTACCCAAATTGTGCATTTTCCACAAAAAGTTATTATCTTAAAATTAGAAACTTTAATGGAAGATCAATAACAAATTCAAATTTTTATTAGTAGTTTCCTTAAATTTTTTTTTGATGGGTACCAGGGATGAATTCGGGGGTACGCAACCACTGAGCCACATCCCCAGCTCTATTTTGTATTTTATTTAGAGACAAGGTCTTAATGAGCCTCACTTTTGTTGAGGCTGGCTTTGAACTCATGATCCTCCTGCCTCAGTCTCCCAAGCCACTGGGATTAGAGGCATGTGCCACCATGCTTACCTCTTTTAAACTTTTACTTGGAACTAGATTACTGATTTCTTTCCAAAAAATCTTGACAATCATTAAGGTATACATTTTTTAAAAGAAGGTGATTTTTTAAATTATAAATATCTATACTGTTTACATTTGTTATTAGATGAATATTAGATAATATGCTGAGCATATTAGCTCAGTTAATTTATCACAATAAGCTTTTGTGTCCAATCCACAAACAAATGAGACCTTATCTTTTAAACTTGTTTAAATTAAATATGATCCTCTCCCTTTTATTTTATTTCAATCCAATCTGGGTTGTAAGGAAGACCCCATTGGTTTATATTTATCATTTCTCAGAGATATTTCATGATACTATGCTTCAGTTTTTCAGCTCAGAGGAAATCTAGAAACTTATTCTTTAGAATTTCCTCACTGGATTGGGGGCACGTGATTATTTGTGGAAAATTACAACATCATTACAGATGTGTGGCTACGACCCAAAATTGAGGAAAAGTTTGCTGGATATGCTGCCTGTCTCTGGACTGGAGGTTCATAGCCACTCAGAGCGTGAGGGTTGTTCCCAGCACAGGACAGAGTAGTAAGGGCACTATGAATAGCAGTTACTCTATTCCAGTTTAAAGGCATATTCCCATAAGATTCTAATAACACTGGCCTTTGTTAGCATACCTATGGTAGTGCCGAGTGAATGTCCAATGAAATACAACTTTTCCTGACCAGTTTTATTCACAATGAAATCTATTATTCCTGGGAGGTCGTATTTGGCCATTTCATCAAAACTGCAAAATAAAACAAGGCCTTATAAATACTTGAAACTGTAAGTTTAAAACTCAGACACTTTCCCACCCAGAATTCTGTGCTGTCTACTTAGTCAGTGGATATCTCATTACTTACCCAATTAAGTATAGACCATTGTAGCTTTTGTCTTGATTTACAGGTCACTTCCTAATAACAGAAGTGCTTGTAAGACTTGGGGATGCTATCTAAAGTTCAGTCTTATTCTTCATTCTATTCTCTTGCTTTTCTTTCTCTTCCCTTTCCCCATATAGTTTGCATGTCTCTGCTTCTGACAATCCCATGGGATTCAAGACTCCTAGGGCTATGTAATACTCACTTTTGGAAACAGGACTGTTGTCAGTTATGGTCCTATCATTCACTAGCTGAGTCACTTTTGATAAGTTCCTGAAATGCCCTGAGCCTAAACTTCCTCATTTGAGAAATGAACAGGATAGGTCCTGGTTTCCAGGGCTGCTCTACGCGTTGCATAGTGTGAAAGAAATGACCTGACTATTGGTAGGCACTTGATCAGATGTTGCTATTATTAGTACTTCTTTCTATATATTCAATGTATACAAAAGTTCTATAGTACCAGTCCAACCAGCATTAATGAAAAGGCCTGTTATATTGTCAGGTATACCAAGAGCTAGAGACCTGCTTATTAAAAGCATATATGAGGAGATCTCTAAATTGATACTACCAAGTATAAGTGGAATTTTGTAATGCCTTCAAGTGCATTTACCGCCAAGCTCCCAGTCAAGGACTTGGTGACATGAAATGCTTCCTGACTAGCACCTTCCACAGAGCTCTAGCCCTAACAATTTACTCTATCCTCCTTCTCTCAGCCTGTCACTGGGTGCTTAATATTTCATTAATATTCAAGAATATAGGAACGCATGATCTATTCTAGCAGCAAACCAATAGGGAGCTTAAGTTTGAGGAAGGGCAAGCTATTGTAGGCACCAGCTTATCATCTGGTAGCAGAGAAACACTTCCATTAAAAGAAACAGACAACATATTAAAATATTCTCATTGCCCATTAATACTCTTTTGAAAATTTTATATTGAAATTTTCCTGAAAATTGTATTCTGTTCAATCTCAGAACAGTGTTTTTAAAATAAATACAGTATTAATACACATCATCTTTGCAAAATTGATTGGCTGTCTAGGAAAAGATTTATAAAAATGCCATTAGAATAAATAAAAGCTTCATGAAGCCAGGGATTTGATCTGAATAGATTTGAATGCTCAGGGCATAAGATAGTGCATACAGCAGGCACTTCATAAATATTGGTTGAATGAATGCATGCATGGGTCATAGGAGTATTCTGAGTTGTCCCTTGAGCATATTTATAAAGTATAGTCAGATTGAATTGGAATGTCAGATGATCTTGTTTAACTGGCACAATTTGCCTGTGGGAGAATCAGTCAAAATGAAAGATTCTTACAATTTAAGATGTCAGTAGAAATGATGAGGAGCTTCATGACTTCAAGTATTATAGACTATTATTAATACCATCCATACTATTATATATTTCAAGAAATTGCCTCCAACTTGTTTTTCTTAGATATAGTTTACCTAAAGGCCCAGAATTTCTCTTCATTTTCTGAGAGTGTTTTGTGTCTTCTTGACCAAGTGTTCCCCCGACTATTTCCCATCCATACGTCGTAACCTGCATCTGCTAGAAGGAATCCAAGGCTTCCATTGGCATAATTCTCAAGCCAGTAGGCAGTGTCTGAAAACAGGGCATGCTGAAAGTACACAACTGGCCGGGGACCTGTGACGGTGGTACAAAGACAGAAATCAAGAAGAATCTGTGATAAATAAAGTATGTCCAAACATGATAGCAACACACACCACACACAAATACATGCCAAGAATAGAAGACATAAACAGAATATGCTTTTCTCCCTATCATTAGTGCAGAGAATTATAATCATATAACTTCAATTTCTTGAGCACAAACTTTGTACCTGGAGCTAGGTAGAATGATTTACAGGAATTAGCTTATTAAACTCTTATAATAACTTTTGAAAGTAGTTGCTATTTTAAAGATGTGGAAAACAAGGCTTAGGGAAGATAAGTGATTTTCCCAGCAGGTCTTTCAACAAACAAAAGTACAGAGAAGAGACAAACCTGATTCTGTCTCATTCTAACAGAGAATTGTAACTGCTCTGTTTTTATGTGTTCATTTACAAATGGTCACCAATTTATGACGGCTTGACTTACTGTTTTCAACCTTCCCATGTGCAAAACTGATATGTATTCAATATAAATCATACTTCAAATTTTGAATTTTGATCTTTTTCTAGGCCAGCAATATATTATATAATACTCTGAAGATGCTGGTCAATGATGGCAATGACCATCAGCTCCCAGACAGGCATGTGATCATGTGGATAAATGATCCATACTACACAGTGCACTGTGTCGTGAAGCTATGGTGTTCAGTAGGTCAGGTGTATTTAATTCACTTTTTCTTATGCTACTTTAAATTTTTAGTTGATTTTATCAGTACATAATCCCATGCTAAGTTGAGAAGCATCTGTAAACATAGGTTCTGCACGTGGCTTATAAAGATGCACAATTTATCATGCTTAATGGATCCCTACGTCTCTTCCAGGGAGGAAGAGGAGGTAAGCATAAATGAGCACTTGTAAGTTCCTCACCAAGTCTGTCTCAAACTCCAGCCTCTGCTCACTGGAGAACATTGGCAAATTACAACAGTAGTTTTTATATTGAAATAATTAATAATTAATAAGTAAAATTAGCATATCGTCCTTTCAACTCCCAAATTCATAAGGGAAAGTTTGCAGGAAGAACCAGGGCGAACAATGCAGAACAGTAACCTTAATTCAGTGGCTGCCTGGAATTCTGGTTCTGTGTCTTGGTTATTTGTGTGACTATGGGCTTGTTACATAATCTGTGGTGCCTCCGTTTCATCATCTGTAAGATGGTGACTACTGGGTTGCTGGAGGTTTTAACTGATTTAAATTATTTAGAATAACACAGAAAATAAATGGTTTTTAGCTACAAATGTTTCCAAAATTCTCTGTCCTTAAGCAAACTTTTTTCTATAAGATTTTTCCTCCTTTTTTATTTCATAGTTTCCTTGCCCTCAATCCTGTTATTGCCCAGATTTAGTAAAAGACAAACCCCAAAGTAAACAAAGAGATGCAGGATGCACTATTAAATTTGAAATCATGATAACAACAAATAATTTCTTTAGTACAAGCACAGCCTAAATTGGAAATTCAAAAAAACCTATTTGTTGCTTATTCTGCTTTCAAATCTAACTGGAAATCCCTTACTTTATCTGGGAGAACTATCTATATCCCACTCCCCTTTTTCATTCTGAAATTCTTGAATTTATTTATTCAGTATTATTTATTAATTATCAATTAGTTTTACATATTTATTATAAATTATTTTTTCTTAGAGTGTCAAACAAAGTTATTTTAGCTGTCACTTAAAAGTGGTGATGGGGGAAACCATGCAGAACCAACAGTAATGGTAAGCATCTGCCAATAAGTGACTTGCCTTTGAGTCTTTGCACATATTTTGCTTACTCTCATTTTTCCCTTCTGAAAGCCTGTGCAGTTATAGTTCATTTTTAAGAAGCACTATCCCAGGCTTCTGCATGCTTGGCTCCTCATTCTACAATTCAGGCCTCATTTTACAACACCAGGCTGTTCCCTTTCATAAACCGTCCCTTAGGCCAAGGGGCATGTGAATATTGGTTATCCTTCCTGGAAAAAGTTCCCAGAAGTGCCACTGTCATTTAACTTGATGTTTTACTCTGCAGAGAAAGGATCATGGATCTTAGTGGGAGCAAAGGAAGCTTGTCTGGGTACCCCACTGGAGTCAATTTCTTTCCACCCAGAAAAACCTCTTCCAACAATGAGGAAATCCAATATCCTGGGACATATGAGGAACCAGGAATGACCTAACAAAATGTAGGCTCCACCTTGGCATTTCCACCCTAAGAAACAACCCCAGTGGCTCTGAGTAGGATCGGTCATGCCTTTGGTATTTTTAGGCTTTTATCTGTTTTTGAAGAATTAGAGGCAAAAGAATGAGTCTTTTTTTAGAGACCACCCCAATAATTCAAACAAATTTTGATAAAGTACTCTCTTTATGAATATCCAGCTTTACATTTCAGTCACATGCAGTCCCTTCTCAGCAGACGCGTATCTTGTACCTGTGCTCCTAGCATGCCGTCTTCCACAGGGAATCCTGTTGATGCTGAGTATGTACCCATCTGCAGTGGTGACTTCATACTCTTCGCTGGGGTAGCCATTGTAGGTGATGATTTCACTCTGCCCAGGGAAAAGACAGCCATCCACTAAACTTCTTCTCTGAATGACATCAAAAGGAACTAGAACAAAGCACCTAGTGCATCTTATTGGGGTGGAGTGTGTAAAATCTTCAGCCACAAGTAACCATAAAATTAATCTACCCACTTAAAGTCTTAATAAAAATAGTCAGGTGTGGTGGCATCCTCCTGTAATTCCAGCTACTTGGGAGGTTAAGGTAGGAGGATTATAAATTCAAGGCCAATTTGAACAACTTAGTGAGACCCTGACAAAAAAATGAAATAAAGTAAAATAATAAAATAAAAGGGGCTGGGGATGTGGCTCACGGGTAGAGCACACCTGGGTTAAATACTCAGTACCTAAAAAACTAAAAATAATAAAAACAAAGCAAAACAAAAGAAACAAGTAGAATGTTAGATAATATCTAGTGTAGGCCAATTTTGAGGGGGGTGATATTCATCATTGACACATTCTTTCTCACAAAGCTATATTTTCCAGTCACTTGTCACTAGAGACCTCTCTAGGTTTAAAAATGGTAAAACTATAGACTAATAGAAGGCAGTCTCATACATCACCCAAATGGCTTAATATTCTTAAAGTATACATTCAGAACAAGAGTTGGTGTATTTAATACAATAAAATTCTGCGTTGTGTTACTGGTAGAAAATATTAATTATTCAACTGAAGGAGCAGATCTACCTAGCTTGACCCTTCTAGAGTGGTTAAAAACCATCCACCTGTTTTTCTTATCAGAGATTTTCCCCACCACCCACTAATCCTGCTTTATTTGATGTTCTTTGGAATTCATCTTGACTTACAGTGTTCATCCACACTTCAGGATTCACTTCATTTTCCAAATTCAAGAATCCACCAGCATTTAATGTTCCACAAATCAAACAAACTATTGTTAAAAACAGCCACATCACAGGAATGCCTGGCAGAAAACATTTAACATTCACAGATTTATTTCATCCATCAATCTTGACTTGTGAAATAAAAACAGTGCCCTAATGGAAACTGGAGTAAGATCCTGGGAACATTGATAGTGTTTGGAAGACAACAGATAAAATGAACTAACTCAGAGCACTATTAATCTACTTTTGCACATAGAAACTGTCTTGACATAGTCCAGTTCTTAAAAGGGAATGAATTCAATATAGCACAGAGGCTTTTTATTTGCTCTTATTTTAATCATTTTTTTAAAATTTATTTTAAGTCATTGTTCATCTGTGAAGTGCCTGAATTCCTAATGATTTATAGGACAAGTTTCCACATCACAGCACAGTGAAAGTAGAGGTGTCTCTAGGGTAGACCAGAATCCCACAAAGCAACCAAGAACCTTGAATTGATGAAGCTTTTGCCAACAAACAAGCTATGATGAGCTTCTCATGCTGTGACTATATCATATGTGGACATCCAGAGGAATAATCTTGCACATGTCCATGTGTACCTCACTTTCTTGCCATGGTTCAAAAGCAGTTTCAAAAGCAGGCTGACACCAGTAAGAGAGTAGCTTGCTCATCATCTGAGTGTGTTGCAGTCAATTGGCCTGAACTTGAAATTCAGCCTCACCACAAACAAGATTTTTGACCTTGGGCAAGTTATTTTATAGCTTTGTCTTTTTGTTTGTCAGTATCATAAAAATAATAATATCACCTATTTCATAGTGTTATAGGGAGGGCTAAGTGACATAATATATATAACACACCCAGTGCAGTGTAAGTCCTTAATAAATGTTTTCATTATTTTTTTTTCTAAGAATAAGCCAATGACTAATACCAGAGAGCTTTTACTGTAACAAAACCATGTCTGACTTATAAAAATTACAGTTTACTTTTGAAGCAAAATAGCTTTTCATACATTTGCTACCTAGATGCAGATGATTTTATATCTGTAAATGTTATATAATCTAAACACTGCTTTGAAACTATTAGTAGCTAATGGTAAGTGCTTACCTTATGCTAGGCATTGTCCTCGGTGCTTCATAAGTTAAAGCTAGAAAATCTCCATGAAGCTGGTACCAATACTCTCCATTTTATCAATTAAAACAAAACAAAACAAAAGCTTGGAGAGATTTAATTCCTAGTCAAGAATACAGAACAAGCCGGTGACAGGTCTAGGCTGGGTAGGCAGGCAGCCTCTCCTCAGAGCTCTTGCATCTAAGAGCCATTGCCATCTGGCCTCCCAGTTGTGATAAAATCTCCATCTTACCTACTTAGGTGAGCTTCACCTGCTTCCAAGGACTCCTGATTGATGAGGAACTTCTGAATTTTTGCTTTTGACATCAGGCTGAAGAGTAAGATATGGTTGCAGTAACTGTTAGAAACTAGAGAGATGAGAAACAGGAAGCTTGTGGAAATGAGGAAAACTTGGACTGTGCCTCACCCAAGGCGTCTCCTTGGCACACACAGTATCATGATACAGTTTGCATATTGGGAAATTGTGGTCTACATAATGCCAAGTAACCACTTTGGCTGAATCATTCATATTTCCACTGTCCTTGTGGGGAGTGTTCAGTAACATTTTCAAACCAGTGCATGGAACGGGGAAGTAGATCAGGATTCTAATGGACAAAATCAGAAATAATAGTATCACCCCTCAAACCCCATAGTCTAACAGTAAGAATCCAATGAAGCAAAGTATGTGAAAATATAGTGTCAACCATGAAGTTCGCAAGGATATGCATGATTGTCACTCGACAAAGAAGATGAAGCAATTTGTTTGGTGATGCTTGAGACCAGAGGAGTTTGGAGCTAGCAATGTGGCAGAGGAAAGTGACTCACATGTTAAATGTATTTGGCCTATTGTCAACTTTGGCAGTAACTGCTGTGCTAGCTGACCCAGAAACCATTTAACTACTGCTTTAAACGAGGTAGGAATGGAAGCCTGAGAGAATAATGAAGACAATTTATCTTTAAACTCTACATGAAATATCACATAATGGAGGCACATGTGCTCAATTTTCTACTTCACTTTTTATACCTATAGAGACTAAACATGAACTCAGTCTCTTTTATCACAGCATGAAGGATAGGGAAAATTAAGTTGCCACTCAGCATGATACACGAGTTTCACTTCTATTCATTTGGACTCATTGTCAAATTCTTTCAGAAACAAAGGTAGGGTCAGTGTTCGTCCAAATCCTAAGATCTGTTTCAGTTAAATATGAAATTCTGTGCTACTTAAATAAATGTGGAGCAAAAGGAAGATCTCAGCATGTTGAAACAGGGAAAAGTTAACACACCACTTGATACTCATTCAGTCTTTGATAAAAAAAATTCAACTATGTTTTGCTCTGATTGATTGTGTGATGACAGAGGTGTATGGACGTGCTTGGAATTGCTCATGGCTTTTGATTTTAAAATGATCTTTACTTACAAAACTTTAATGGATTCTAGAGAGTTCTAAGATGATGATGATGATGATGATGATGATGATGATGATGATTTTGTTGATTTGTTGCCATAATTTAATGTAGAAATAGCATGAGTATAGTTCAACTTCTCAGGTCTTTACGGATTATAGAGTAACTCAAACCTCAAAAAATTACTATATCATTGATTTCTCATATTCTTTCCTCAACTTTGAGGGTTAGCTTAAAATCTGAGGAATTCTTCCAATTCTTTTGCTTTTATAGAAACAAAGCTGTATCAAATAAATGACACTAAACTTTTTGGCAGTTTCATTACTCTTCTTATATCATCTTGCTATTTTAATAAGTATTCGGCATATTATTAAATATTATATATATTATACTTAGTAATATATGTATGTGTTAAGCTCAATAATGCGTATCCATATTATTATATATAAATCTATAATAGTAACATATGTAATTATTATATAGTTTAATATTCATATTGACATTTATTTAAATAAAAATTGAAAATTCTTCCTTAGCCCTGTGAAATAGAAAATGGTAGCCTCTATTCTATTCATCTATTATTATCTCCATTTCCCTCCCCTCACAAAATTAGATGATATTAGAGCTAGAAAGGTACATGGGCAAAATGTATGTTGAGGGACAATCTTTTGGACAAACTAGTATTTCTGATATCTTGATTTAAGAATTCCGTCACAGCTTGGGCTCCGTATTTGTTGACCACCGTCCACGGAATTATCAAGATGGCTGAAAATACATGGTCAAACTTGCATCTCTTGAACTATGAAAATGGTTCTCATCTAATTAAAAACATGTGTGCTATAGCAATGGTTTGTCTTTTTGTTTGTTTGATTGCTTCTTTCTCTCCAAAGACTGTTTTTTATCTTAACACATCAACTTTTTGCAAAATGGTGCATAATTTCCCCTTAAATATAATTCCAAGTCTAAAGACTTAGGCAATAAACAACAAAATAGAAAATAATAAGAATTTGAAAAATATAAGTAATTTGAAAGTTTATACCTTTGAGACAAATTTTGCCCTAGAGTAAGACTCTGCAGGAATGGGAGCCTGGAATTTACCTCTTGCCCCCCTGAGATGATTAACTCATTCTGCACCCTAAAATTAAAATAGGGTTCAACAGAACCATGAGAGAGAGATGGGGGGAGGGTATAAAATGATTTATTAGCACATTCTGACTGTGGGAAAATACTTTTAATTTACATGTTAAAATTTTATTTCCTTACCCATAAAGCAATATTCATGATATCTATAAGAAAGTGTTGCTTTTGAGATTCCCTGTTAGATTGGAACATGTTTTCTTTAGTGTTGGTGACAATAAATCTTCATTTAAGGACCACTAAACTACACCCATCTTAAAAAACAGCATAGTGATGATAAAGAGACAGGAGAAATGGCAAAAAGATAGATTGATCATAAATAAATAAAGTATTAAAGGTTTCTGAAGAGACCATAATAAATTAGTTGAACATATACCCATCCCAATACAAAATGGCCAAAGGAAAATAACTTACATTTAAAGAAAAGTTTTTACCCAAAATGCTGGTGGCTGCCCTTGATGACATCCATGTCTGAAATGGCAGGATCGGGATTGTATTTATGGAAAGGTCACAGCTTTGTGAGAACAAAGAGGAAGGGCCATACCATTGAAGGGGGGAAATTATACCATCTACTCCTCCAAGCAGGTTTACCTGCCTCCCTGCTTGCCTAATGTGCACCACTTAAGTGTGGTATTTTCTACAGCTCATTTTGCATTTGAATTATTTCCGTAGGAGGTACATTCAAATGGAGATTCTTTTTTAAAAAACACACAGGACACTTAGCCAGGAATTCAAGTTGGATCTAGTTTTAGATATGGTGTCATCCAATTTTATGGGTAAATGAAATTGTGACTGGAATGTACAAAGAGGTAACACTGACTCTTTTGAAATATACACCTATATCTATCCTGAGTGCATATTCTCTTTTTGTTCAATTACTGATAAATCACTTTCAAATCTCACCAGCATCCCTGAAAATAAGTAAGTGGTTTTTAGTGCCAGAGGATTTTGATTTCATTTCCCCCTTCCCATCAACATCACCATTAAAGCAATGAATGGATAGATTGATCTAGAAGTCCAGAGAATGTAGCCTAGTGACTGAAGAATTGAGTACTTCCTCTGTCAGTTTTACTTTGAGATGCTTGACTATGAATTCTCCTGGATTGCTCTGCTAAGTGTTTCAAAGGAAAATGTTCTTAACAATATCTAGCAAATTTTAGAGGAGACATAAAATTTACGGGAAAAACTCAATTTTGCTGTATGTTTGAACTAAAGTAGGTACTTTATTATTCATAGATTGTATAGCATACTAATTCAATAAAAAATTGAAACTTGATAGCAGGTTTTTTTCCCCCCAATGCAGCCTCCAAATTACCCTCAAACTGGTAATTTGCTACGGCAAAATCTAACATCTTTCATACAATCTGTATTCCCTCACTTCTGCATACATTGCAGAATTATTCAAGTTTTCTATGAATAATCAGAAGTTTTAGAAGAGAATTTCCAATGTGAACTACATATGTAATTTAAGTTTTTAATTAATCACATTTTTAAAAAAATCTAAAGAAATAGGTGAAATAAATTCTAATGATTTATTTAAACCAATATAATTTGATACATTTTAAATTATTAAAAATTTATAATTTATATAAAATAAAATTTTATATAATTTTTATGACTTTTTATAATTTTATGAAATTATTAAATTTGTTTAAATCAATATATAAAAACCATCATTTTGATGTGTAATCAATATTATTATTAATGAGATACCTTCCATTCTTTTTTCACCCTCAGTCTTTGAAATCTGGTGCGTGCGTGTGTGTGTGTGTGTGTGTGTGTGTGTTACATTTTTACACATCTCAATTTGAATTAGCCACATTTTAAGTACTTGGCTACATTAGTATAGCTCTGAACAATAAGTCTTATGCTCATTTTTTTCTTTCTCCCTCAAACATTTCTTTAACCAGATTCTCATTTTTTATATAGTATTCACCCTAAATATTTATTTCATATTGTATGTTTAACATGATTTGAATGTCTGCCTACCAAGTTTCCTTCTCTCTGAGTCATTAATACATATTTTCAAGTGCTTGGCTTCTATTCTCCAACTGAGATTTGAGTCTTTTTTTTAATATTTATTTTTTAGTTGTAGTTGGACACAATATCTTTATTTTATTTTTTTTTAATGCTGTGCGAGGATGGAGATTTGAGTCTTAATCCCCCCCAAATAAAAAGCATTTACACACATTCTTAGCTATAACCCTGTATCAAAAACAATACCCTCTACTGTTACAAAAAGATAGCTCGTTATATTGACCCATTCGAACAAATGCTAAATTATTATGTGGTTTTTAAATAATTTAATGTTTCCTGATAAAGGGTGACTAATATGATTATGTCAACATTTATGCATTTGGAAATTTTCTGGATCTAATTCTTTGAGAGTGTTGATCGAAGGTGCAATAATGGCTCTACAGAAAAAAACAGCTTTCTTGAAGGTCTTGCTTTGAGACCATGGATATCAGCACAAATCTACAGATTGTCCATAAAAGAGGATGGAGTCCCTTGTATAGACCTGAGAAATATTTGTCTTTGGGTAGTTTTGTGTTTTCAGATAGCCACACAATAACCTGGGCTGCCTTTCTCCCTGACAGGACCATCCCAAACTCCTCACTACTCCCTGTGCCCTCCGCAGTCATTCTCCATGTTGCAGCCATTGTCATTATGTTTAATTGCACATCTGATTGTGTTTTTTAAAAATTACTTATCTGTTTTATTTCTTTTAAAAAATTTATTCTAATTTGTTATATATGACAGCAGAATATATTTCAACTCATATTACACATGTAGAGCA